GTCTAGAATCAATCTCAAGCCTTTTTTCTCCCTTGGCTCTCAAGTTTATTTACAAATAATATCGAATTTGATGGAATTTAAAATAAAGTCAGACTTCTTTAAAACTGAAGTTTAGCATAATTCTAAGTTTATGATTTTATTTTTATTAAAAGAATAATTCTAAATAAAAAAACCAATTTTTGCAAATGAACCTAATATCTTCCTCACATTTCTTTTGAGTCAATCAATCAGAGATCTTAATTCATATTTGTTTGAATTTTATTTCTTATCTCTGATGCCGGTATAAATTTGTGCACAGTTTGCGATTGAATCTAAGGAATGCTAATTTGCAAGCAAAGGCTAACATGAGGAAAACTGCTCAGGAAGAGGTACTGATCTTTATAAAATGTAGACTTGAGTGATTTAAATGTTACTAGTCCTATTTGCTACCTGAAAATGTTTCCTATCTCTTGTTTGTTTTATACCATTCTTTTGCTGCAATTATTTAAAATTATTACCTGGTTCTTGAACAAACTGGATTTTTCTTTCCGTTAACTGCTTGATATCTGGGCACTAAACTTTTTTTTCACTCAAGAAATATTAAATTATGGTTTTGTTTTAAAAACTTATGCGAATGACTTTAGGAAAATTGCTTTGATGGTTGCAGAGAGAACTTCTATTGGGTGGTGGTGGGGAGTCTACAATTCGCAGGCGTAACTTACAGTATGTATCTCTCTGTAAATTCAGCTAGATGTATGCTTTTACATCCCCATTGTTAGTTCAGTGATAATATGTGGGGTAATTTCTTTCTCTGACTAGGTTTTTTAATTAAATTCTTTCACTTAATCGATATAATTATCTTTGTTTTAAGGACTAAGGCTGGAATTTCATTAGCTGCAGAAAGTATAACGGATAGCCTTCGTCGCACCCGTCAGTTGATGGTTCAGGTTAGTAAAGATGCTCTTATGTCTGCAATAGTTTATGCCAGTGTTTCTCTTTATGACATCTTTGCACCTGGGCCTATAATGAGGTTTCTTGGATGTGTGCGTACAGGAGGTGGAGAGAAGTGCAAGCACACTCATGACTTTCGGTACTTTTCTATCTCAATCCTCCAAGGATTGTGCTGCTTTAGCATTAAATCTGTGAAGAATGTCAGATGTGTATTTTTTTGAATTTTATAGTAATATATATTAGTTTTCTGGAATTACATTAGTTACACAAGGCGTGTTTTATCCTAATGCTCTTTAAACCTAATTACGTACTTATTTTTAACATTATTGATAACTAACTATAACTAACTAAGAGCTATGAGGTTTCAATACTTGACCAGCGGGGAAATTTTTCATTTTCTGGATAATGTTGTCTTTACACATTACAAGAGCATTTTATATTATCCTTGACCTGAAATCCTGAATAGAGAATATGTTCAGTAAACTAGAGTACTTCCTTTGAATGATGCAAATCAGTGGAAGGCTGATTGATCATTGGTATCACATAATAATTGAAAATAAAGACATGATGCGAGTTCATCAAGAATCATGTTGTTACAGAATACTTCCTTTAGAGGAATGTGATATCTTGCTGCACGATAATACCCAAGAGCAAGATCGATTGGGAAAGAAAGCTAAAAACAATATTAGCATGACTCTTCTGCATTTGATGAGCAAAAGCAGTTCATGTTTTATTTTTCGTCGTAACTGATATAACTCTTTGAGGATATCGTATTCTCCCTTTTTTTTTCTCTTGTACGAATAAAGCTTCTTTTTTATTAAAAAAAGGTAGTTTAAAGGAGCCAAGTTTAATGTGATAATATTTATGACTTGCAGAGGAATCTACTGGAGTTTTGAAGAAGGCAGAAAGTGAATACAAGGGACACCGCTCATTGCTGATGCGAACACGAAATTTACTTTCCACAATGCAACGTCAAGACATTATTGATAGGTATGGAAGAGGAGTCCATAATTTTACATATCCTCTACTTGGTGGCTAATCTAATTATGAGACTAATGTTGGTTTTATGTGGATAGGGTGATTCTCATAGTGGGATTTCTCTTGTTCTCCTGTGCTGTTCTGTATGTTGTTTCCAAGCGTATTGGGATATTGACACTACAGAGGAAGGTTACTGCTGCCCTAAAGGCTGGAATGGCAAGTAAAGCAGGGATTGGACAAGGAGCTGCTGAAGGTGGTAGGGATCCTCGCCGAATCCCTGATAACATAGTTAGGGAATTGGAGGTTCCTCTGGGACAACCCATGCATGATGAACTTTGAAGCTCTATTATCTGTGCAAAATTAGGGTTTTGTAAGCTTTTCTGTGAGAAACTAGCAATAGATATTTGCGGCTTTTCTCATCGTTAATATGTTTTACATGTAAATCATTCTGGTGAAATGCAGATTCTCTTTTCTGAATAGCCTGAGTCTCAAGTAAAGGAACTATAACCGAAGAAAAAATGTTGATTACTACTTCTATTCCATTGTCATATGGGTTGCTGAAATATCTACATCTATGGATTGTAAGTGGAAAAAGCATACACATGGACTGTTCATAGCTAGAAAGGAAAAGAGAACAGATAATCAGGTTCACCGAGTCTGTCAATTTTCACATTTAGCATGTTCATGTGGTCAAATTATTGCACAGCAGGAAATGATGAAGATTGGAATTCAAGTGTGACTAAGCCAGTAGCCAGAAGTTCTTGTGGGTTTTAGTATTGAGAAGATAGCCTCCATTCTGACCCTTTTTTTGTACCGCAACACAAGTGCACTTGCTGTTCTCAATCAAATATTCTGCTGTGTCTACTCCTCTTGCCCCTCTTGAACCTCCCGGCAGCCTAGATCTGTTGGCACACGGATAAGCCATTGATTAATTGGCAGATTATTTCATATTTAATCTTTTTAGTAGGTTTCTACATATTAACCTAAGGGACTAGGTGGTTTAGCTGATAAAATTTCAAGTATATTTTGCACAATATTTGAAGCTTGCTCACCATCTATCTGATTTACCCACATTAGATGCATCTCATTTCTTTTTAATGTGGCCAAACAAAAAAGAAAAAGTTACTTGGGTAATGAAATGGCTGACCCTAGTAATGCAGAGGCAAAAGTCCGTCGTTGGCCTATAATGATAACATCCACACCAAGTGTGCCGCTCCTAAGAAGAATGGCAGCAGCCTTGCTGCTCTCCGTCTCCATCCTCTCTACACGCACCCGCATCTTTGGCTGAGCCATCTCGCATATACGCTTCATTTGCTCAAGAAAGTTCACATTTTCTCCAGGAATATTAACTCCTTCCATAGATGATGATGAAGGGGGTCCATACGATCCAGAAGATGAAGATAATCTGAGAAAACTCTGAAACGTGTTCTTCCATGAATTTGGGTTCATGACATGGACTAGAATGAGCTCATCTTGATCCAACACGGCGTGGGAGAGGGCGTATTGGAGTGCTGCTGCCGATTCCCTAGTTGGGTCTGCTACGACCATAACCTTGCGAGCCGGTGGGTTGCCACCACTTTCCATGTCCCGTGGCAGCGGCTATGGTATGCAGCGATAGAAACACCCGCTGACCAAGAGACACGAAAAGCTTGGTAAGGTGTTTGAGAAAAATGGCAAGAAATATTTGTGATGGTGTGATATTGATAATGATATTGTCATCTCTCTCTCTCTCTCTCTCTCTCTCTCTCTCCCCTAATTGATGTTTATCACCAACAAACATTAACTGCTGATGAAGTGTTTGTTAGCTTTCATTTTGTGATCCACAGAGAAGAGATTTGTAGGCTTTGTGCTATATTTGGGTGGTGACATGGTTGGTTCGTAGTAAACTTTGCCAAATTTAGTGTCTTGCTAGTTTTATCCAACAAGACTTGGTCAATTTCCCATTACCGCGTCCTGCACAAGCCTGGTTCTCCTGGATTTCAAATCCATTTTGGATATTTCTAGTCCAAGTCTGTATCGTGTTTCAAATCATGTTGATTCCAGATTGACTGGGTAAATAGGTTTGTTTTCATATTATACATATAGAACAGATACCGAAAAATAAATCATAGACTTTGAATTTAATTATTCAAGTTACTTTAACATTTAATTTAGTCTTAGTTTCAACAAAAATTTAAGTAAAAATAAAAAAAATATCAAGTAAAAGTTAGACTTGGACTTGATTTTGACACAAAAAGAATAACCCTAGATATTTCTAATTATTTTGCTAAAATACGGATTTATAAAGAATGAATTATAACGGTTAATTTCACCATGATAGTATGTTTAAGAGAAACTTTTACTCTGATAATATAAATGTAAAAATTTAACTTCTCGTATAAATTAATATATTCAAGAAAATTTCCTTATGGATCAAAGTCATAGTCATAGTCTGACTTTATAATTGAAAGATTTTTTTCTTTTATACAACTAATTTGTAATTAGCTCTCTATCAAAGCTCTATTTAGTTTTTCAATTTAATTATATATATATATATATATTAAATATTATGAATAAAAATTTAATAAAATAAAAAATTTAATTATAAATTTTTATTTATATTTTATGTCTATTAAATTCACATCCAAGTGGTAAATAAAGCTCAATCAATTAAAAATTTAAACTAAAATATCCTTTAATAAATAATAATATTTAAAATTATATTATAGAAAAGAATAACAATTTTTTTCATTTTACCAAAATTTCCTGATTTTTTATTTTTGTCAAACTTTTTAACAACTTGCTAGATTAAAAAAAATCAAAAACAAAATCAAGTATCCAAATACTTTTTTGCCTTAAAATATTATGAGCTAAAAATTTGTTAGTGCTTAAAGCTTTACAAACTTGAAAGCACTGAAAGAGAATAGATTAATCTAAGCACCTCAATCTTGTGATGTTTGATTTATTTCGTGTTAGCTTGAAGAAGATTCATACAAAAGAACACGTATATATATATATATATATATATATATATATATTGGAGATATACACATATAATCGTGAAAAACTTCTGTAACATTATTATCATCAAAAGGAAGAAGGCAGACCAAACTTAAAAATAGCAAGTACTGTTACGAAGTGCAAAATTTAAAGACCAGCCGGGTGCACAGGTATAGTCATCTTCGTGAAACTTATGGTGCCTTGAGTTGAGTCTTCGAAGCCAACTTGAACTAACAAAAATGAAGTATTACCAAAAGAAAATGTACAGAACGTTATAGAAGATCACCAAGTCTTGGAAGCCAGATCACTCTTCCATGGTTTATGTTTTTGGTTATATGGAGTTCAGCCAACCAAGATTTCTGCAAGCTAGTCACCCACATAAATATGCTTCTACCTATAGCCATACAAGACATTTGGTGGATGACCTCCGCAAAAACTCTAGCTTTCCGACTCCCCATCGAACATAAATCCTTACACCACCCCAAAATTGAAACCTTTCACCAAGATTTAGCTCATCATTTGCCAAAATCCATGCACCTAAAAGTTGCAGAAATGTGGGATCCATGTGCAGAAAATATCCAAAAGAATTTTCAGCCTTTTGCATTCAGTTTCTCCATAAGTATCTTATTTAGAAGCCCCGGATTTGCCTTGCCCTTTGACATTTTCATTACCTTCATACAGTTGACACGCTCGTCAGAAGAGCCAAAGCAATTAGTAACTTTTTCTCTTTGGAAGAAAGATGGAACTAATTAGAAACCAAAAACAAAAAAAGAAAAGGGAAAAGCTGCAAAGAAGCTTTTCTCCTGAAAGCCTGCAACATCATACCTGGCCAGCAAAAAAACCTTGTAGCTTAGTTTTTCCTCCACGATACTGTTCCAGCTGCTTTGGATTATCTGAAATCACCTTATCTACCATTGTTTCAATCTCGGCAGGATCTGTTATCTGCGATATCCAGAGCATGTTGTGTTGTGTTCAAGCCATTTGAATTTGTTACAGAAAGCATGGTAGAGGACATTCTCTAGCTTTCGTCATTGAAGTATAAAATGACTGGAACCTATAACAATGCTTGGTTTGGCTTGTATAGAAGCCCAAATATGATCATGCTTTGTATCTATCATGATCTCCATTTTTTGTGAATCTTAAATCTTGACGAAAGTCCAGTAATGAATGCAGACCAATTATATCTTTTCATTTAACTAGCTACTCAATCCATCTATAAAATGCAGTAATAAGAATATTATTCACATATTGCATTCAGGACAGATGTTCAAAATATTTTAGCAGTCAATGACAAATACTCTCGACATTCAGTATTTAATATTTCTTCTCTCGCTTTTCTTCTAAAACCAAAGTACAGACTGAGATTGCATCATATAACTTGAGATTATCAGAACAGATCCAACAAAAACAGTTCTTTAATTATTCCCCATTAGTTATTCTAGATGAACTTTTGCAAAATGTGCAACTTACCTGAACCAGATCTTTTTCTTTAATCAGTCCCTTGACAGTTCCACCTTTGGCTAACAGCTCAAACAGTATCTGTCAAAAAAGAAAATCTTGAATGAAATTTTGTGAGATAAATGTAATCATTGAAAATGTAGCAAGAGAGTGCATATAACTTGACTTGCACAAGAAACAGAGCAACACTGAGCAATAATGACCACCTCTCAAATAGACAAATCATAAATTAATTTATCATTTACTTTTTTTATAAGGAAAGAAAATTCATCAGGACACAGCAAGGAGTGCAGCTGCCCATAGTATAAGAAAGTATTAATATGATCGACAAAGTCTTCCTATCATCTTCTTATCCCCATAAAAAAAGAAATATTCTTCATGCTCTACTGAAAGTCTAATGAAACAAAATCGTCTAAGCAAAAAAACTCAAAATTTAGAGCCTTCCATCCGTGATACTCTAAATTAGCCAAGTATAAACTATGCAAAGGTCACAATTCTTTATAATTCCTTCTTTTTTAATGAAAAGCACAAAATTCTTCATAGGCCTGCATGCCATACAGCTGTATACTAGGGAACTTTGGATGCTATGCCACTTTACAGAACAACCATTTTTATTTGTGTTTCCTATATGTATTTAACTTGGATCTACAAGAGATTGCAGGTCATAATTCATCATACTTTTTCTTTTTTAAGAAAAAACAAAACATAATTGCTCATGCTTAATCTAAGGCCTGCATGCTATACATCTATGTACTACGAAACTTGGATGCTCAGACACTTTCCATAACATATGTTTTATTTGTATTCCCTCTATGTATTTAATTTACATCTTTAAAAGAGCTTGCATCAACTATGCAGCCTTTCAAAGCCAAGTTAGAAGGGAGACAAGTTTAGAATCAAGTATTTAAAGAAAATCATTTTATTAAGCTGGTAAAGGCCACATGAGTATACCATAAAGAATCAGAGAAGAAATGCGAATTATATAACTTGTGAATAGCATCAGCAATGGAAATAAACTTAACCTCTTTTCCAATCTTTCCACTAATGGTTCCACCCTTTATAGAAGCAATCAGTTCAGCTAATTCATAGGGAGTAAGCTTGATTTCATTTATAGACAGCTTCTCATTTTTCATGTAGGCAGCAATATCACCCATTATCCAATTGGCAGCCAGCTTCACTTCAGCACCCTTTGAAACAGTTGTGTCAAAGTATTCTGCAACCTAAGATGTGTAGCAATCTATCACGATCCCATTATGAACTAATACGATAAACAAAAAGATTAGCCAATGGTCTTGTGCATTTGTGATACCTTAAAAGCATGAGTCACACAGCCTGGAGGCTAACCACATTAAAAGGTAACCCTATATTGAGAGAGCACTTTCCGGCAAGTGGTAGAATCATGGAAACCTAGCATCGCTAAGGCAGAAAACTGATAATATAGATTATCCTAGAGGTTTTTAACTTCATCCACTTAACCTTCAGTATTCTTAATGATTAAACACACACTCTATTTAGATTGAGAAAAGTGGAGGAAAAAGAAAGGAAATGACGTTCAGCATCTTTTTCTTTTCTTGAATAAAAAATAATAATTCGTAACCTTATGTTTCGATTGAGGGAAGTGTTGTGAAAGGAAAGGAAAAGAATGAATTTTCACCTTTCAACCTCTTGTTTTGTAAAAAAAGAAGAGATAATGAGCAGGAAACTGAGCATCCCTCCATTTTTTTTACTTTTAATTTTTCTATTCCTCCAAAGTGGGAGAAAGAGAGAAAAAAGAAAAACACTTCAAAAATTTTGAAGAGAAAATTTGCACATTATCCTTATCTCCTAACTTTTTATTCTATGAATAAAATGTATCATTGACTATTTTCTTATTACAAATTTTCTCCATTCTTTCATAAAGTTAAATTAAACAAAATGTTACAATCTTTTCTTTACTTTTTTAACTTTTAGCTATTCAAATCAGGGAAATACTCTTCATTTCCATTCCTTTAAAATCACTCCTTTCCTTTCCTTTGATTTACTCTCCTATTACTTTTCTAATTTTTACTAATTACCTTTCATTTATTAAGATTCCTTTACTGATTTTACACATGTCATGCCACTAATACAAACACACAAGACTGCATTAAGTACTTACATTTATGTCATTTGCAAGGAAAAGTACATCCTGCATGCTTAGGCCCATCTTCTCATACCTCCGACGCTTAGTTTCTGGCAGTTCTGGCAAAGAGTTACTGATGCTATCGATGTAATCTTTAGTGAGAATAACTTCTGGGAGGTCTGGTTCCGGGAAGTATCGATAATCAGAAAGTCCTTCCTTTTTCCGCATTGTAATTGTTTTCTAAGCAGTATGAAAAAGGTACATGGAAGAGATTAGTAGCCATGGAGTTGACAAGTGACCCATATCCAATATCCTTTTTTACCAGAACAAATCGCAGAAGCTAAACACCTGAGTGCTCTCTTCCCAAAGTCGAGTTTCTTGTATAATTTTATCACCTTGCCCCTGACTATGGAGAAGCGTCTGTCTTGATATCTCAAAATCAATGGCTCTGTTAATTGAGGAAAATGAGTTCAAATTCTTTATCTCAACCTGTCAGTAAAGAATAGAATAATTCATCAGCTATTAAAAAAATATGTCGTCTGTAAGCATCTTGAAATCACATTAAACCAAGAAAATTATAATTACTGCATCTTGCACGTAAATGTGATTCAGGATAGATCCATCATTCTGCACCTTCAAATGAAGTCCTGATTGCAAGAAAATATTTTGGTACAAATCTAGTCAGTCACCCGGGAGGTATCAGAAGGAGTAGCGATGCAACTTTAGCTGCCTGCTTTTTCTTCTCCTTAACTCCCTATGATTGCTACATCCTTGAAAAGTAGGAATGTCAAGACTACTCTGGTGGATCTCCTCTAGACAGCTTCGATATCCAGATTTTCAACACAAAGATGGTTTCTTATGATTGAGAAACTCAAAAGAAATAAAAACACATCCTACTATGAAATTACTCATCAAAGGACTGCCTATGAAATTTCTTGTTCCCAACCGTATAAGTTCACATATAACTATTTTACTTCTATTATTTAATCATAATGTACTAATGAAGTTTGCTAAAACAACAATGAAAATGCAGACAGTAAATCTAATGCTATGTCGCTATGCAAGTCAATGAACCTTCCACCATAGAATTTTGAATATTAAACTTTGAATTCCAAAGCATTCTAATAAGAAGCAACTAACAGTTTGTCTTTTTTGGTGAGGAAAAGAGCATGTATTAAAAGCATGCCACCTGCATGCTGCCCCTATACAAAGCAAGAACTAAGAAATAAAAACCAAAAGATCAACAAAGGTTCTGAGATCATCCCCAGAAATGATAGGATGATCTCTAAACAAAAAACTAAAGGTCTGAAACCAGTAGTCTCTAATATTAACAAAAGAAGAAACTTTGTAGTAAAAAATTATATTGTTCCTTTTCTTGAGAAGAAACGCCATGTAACTCGCATGGTAACCAGTAGTTTGAAAGGAAACAGATTCTTCCTATTTTTGCCAGTAGAAATACCATTCTAAGCATAGATTTTATCCAATACAGGGCTGTAGCAAGAGAGGAGTCTCATAATCTTCTCACATTAGGACACTGAAGAATAAGGTGATTAGGGGATTCATTCTCCCACAAGCAAAGTGGACAACCGTTAAGGATATGATCCTATTGTCGAGAAAGAACGTTGGCTACAATATTCTTCCTCCCAACTCGATATTCTACGGCAAAATCAAACACCAATAACTTGCTAACCCAACGTTGTTGAGGCAAATTGATTGCTGCTCCAACAGAAACTTAAGACTATAATGGTCTATTTTGATTTGGAACTGTTGGCCCCATAAATAAGGCCGCCAACGTCGAATGACCTTCACCAATCCGATCAGTTCTTTTTCATAAGCAAGTAGTGTCTTATGGCGAATAGCTAAAGGTCGACTGGAAAAAGTAATCGGTCTACCTTGCTGTTTCAGGACAGCTCAATGCACAAATCAGAAACATCAGATTCAATAATGAAAAGGCAGGACAAATCAGGAAGAGCCAACACCGGAGTATAAGACATGGTCTCCTTAAGAATGTCAAAAGTAGCACGAGTTTCATCAATCTATTGAATTCTTGAGCATGTTTGTTAAAGGAGCAATAACTCCATAATTGTGAATAAGTTTACGGTAGTAATCAGTCAAACCTAAAATAACTCTCAAAGCCCTAATGGAAGAAGGCAATGGATATTGATGCATGGTTGAAATCTTTATCATTATCCACGAAAACTCCTTTTTGAGAAATAACATGGCCCAACTAAGCAATTGAAGTTTGACCCTTCAAACATTTAGCCTTCTTGAGGAATAGAGCCTTGCTGTATAGATAATACAGTCTGAAGGAGTTGGAGATGTTCTACCCAAGACTTACTAGAAACCAAAGAGAAAACCAAAGAGAAAAAAGAAGAGAGAGGAAAATCTTTTGCTTCTAGCTTAATAAGGTTTTGGATCCAGTCATATTTAATCCCCTCAAGAATAGAAATTATTACATGAAAAGGAATTGTTACCTTTGTACCAAACTCTAATTGCCCAGTTGGTCGTACAGAAACATTTACATCACAGCGAAGGGAGCCTTCTTGCATATTGCCATTACTCACCCCCAAATACCGAACCAACCTCTGTAATTCTGCAGCATACTCTGTAGCTTCCAATCCATTTCTCATATCAGGTTCGGAAACAATTTCAAGCAAGGGAACCCCTGCTCTATTCAAATCAACCTGCAAAGGACAACAAATAATAGAAACATCTTAGGCATAAATGGAAGTTACCAGATTAAACCCTATAACTGCAAGTGAAAATAATGAATATAAATAGATCCCAGTTTTTACAATACCATTATTCATGTATAAAGAAACTCAATCATAAAGCATTGACTTGTTAGCACTTGAAATTTGATAAACCATGGAAGAGAGCAATCAGACATATAAGAAGGTGGGATTATTTTTTCCCCAAAGAAAAAGAAAGGACATATTTGCATTAGCAAAGACAAATACAGTGAAAAAGAGTGATTTCCTGGGAGTAATCCTCGTCTCCTGAATGAAGTAGCTTCCCTGCATCTTCCTCCATGTGAACCCTGGTGATGCCAAATCTCCTGTGGCCGCCACCAAACTCAACTGGAAGATCTATATCAATGTGACCACCAGCTGCAATTGGGATATCAAACTGAGATATTTGATAACCCTTTGGGAGATCTGGGTAAAAGTACTGCTTCCTATCAAACTTTGAGTTCAAGGAGAGTTTGCAATTGAGTGCAAGGCCCAATTTCACAGCATGCTCAATAACTTTTGAGTTCAAAACTGGCAGGGCACCGGGCAATCCCATGCAAATGGGGCAAATACTGGTATTTGGTTGAGACCCGTAATTGTAAGGGCAGCCACAAAAGGCCTTGGTGACCGTAGAGAGCTGGACATGGGTTTCTATGCCGATTATTGCTTCGTAGTCAGTCATGATCTTATCCAGTGTTTTATTCTGGGTCTGTGGAGAAACTTTGATTGGTGAAGGCTGTCGCTTTTCTTGAGTGGCTGTCTGGCTTTGCGAGCTCTTCATTGTACAATACGAAACACGGGCATTTCTACCAATCAATGCCATTCGGCAAAGCGAAAATGGACTGGATTGAAGGGTTCTAAACAATGGAGTAGCCATTTTATCGGCTCTCTACTCCAATTTTTATATATACACAACCAGCACCACTGCTTCTGCGGAACATCAAAAAAGAAATGGGATAAATCTAGTATTTTGATTTATATTCTACGTTTAATACTAAAAGAAGTGAAAACCCATATGATATGGGTAAATAAAAATCGCATAAATGACAAGTTTTGAAGCAAGCCCAGAAAGTTCAACTATCAGAGCGTGAAATATTTGGTCAGAAACAAGATAAGCCACTGATAATAAGTGAATTTCAACACAAAACGCAGAAAGAAAAAAAAAAAAGAAAAAAGCGTAAAAATTACAAACAAGAACCAATTGAATTTAATGATGTTTATGTTTCAAGAAGCCGACCCTACGGAGACAAGAACTCGAAGCTATACAATTTCGTTAGCAAGAAAGGAGGTATAAAAGAGAATGAAATATACTTACCTGATTCTGGTTATTGTATGGGTGGGAAGGAAAACTCGAACGAGTAAGATGCTGAATAACCTACCAACGGTCACCGTCATCCACATCCTATTTTAAAAAACCAAAGGTAGGGCAGAATGAATGTTCTTTTATAACTTTTGATCAGATTGAGAAACTGGTGGGCGTGCCGGAGTGGTTATCGGGCATGACTAGAAATCATGTGGGCTCTGCCCGCGCAGGTTCGAATCCTGCCGCCCACGTTTTAGTTAATATGATGCTGATTATTTCTGCATGAATAAAACAAGAAGGAAAAAGCTGCTTTTCTTGTCCCTATTTTTTCTAACAATAAAGGCCTAAATTTCAACTCCATACCAAAATCTTTAGAAACCATTTTATAATTAAAACATGAAAAATATTAATTATAACTAAATTTTGATTTTGTTTTTTTTTTTAAAAAAATTTCTTGTATCGATATCAAAAAATACAACATTCATTCTGTAAGAACAGTTAACAATAATTATTTTAATCTATTATTTGATATGGTATAAGTTAAAATCAATCATATGTTATTAATTAATAAACTATTATATTTTAAATTATTTATGTAAAAATAAGGACAAAAAAATTATGCACGATGTCGAAATGTAGATAATGATATCTTCTATAAATTACTATATGTTTTACCTAACATTATAATTAAACTAGTTCTACATATTTTAGCATTTCAATAGAATTAAATATAACTAAAAATAAGTAATTAATTATATTTTTCTTTCAAAATTAAATTTTTACAATAACTATTTTAATTTATTTTTTAATACGATATTAACTCACTAAAAATATTTAATTTTGATAACAAAATACTAATACAGATATACCCATTTTAAACCTATCCTATGTCACCATCTCATAAATATATATATATATATATATATATTAGAGTATCAACTCAGAAGTAATCTGATTTTTGTCATAATTATTTCAATAGGTGAATTAACATTATATCCAAATCAGAATTAATCAGATTCTTTGAGGCCTATATAATAAATCCCTCATCTTCTACTTCATGGTGCCATATAGAGCTCATACATTATTACAAAACACCAACCATGGAAATAACGCCAAGGAGACAATAGCTAACATTGTGATAGCACCTAGTCCAGGCATGGGCCACTTAATCCCCCTCATAGAATTAGCCGAACTCCTCATCTCGAACCATGGCTTACAAGTCACGTTCATTTTACCCAGTGATGGATCGCCCATGAACGCCCAAAAACGCATCTTTCAATCCTTACCCACTTTCATTTCCGCCATCTTTCTCCCTCCTCTGTGCTTAAATGACTTGCCTAAGAACACCCAGATCGAGATTCGGATCACGACGTGCCTGACTCGCTCTTTCAAAGTTTTAGGAGAGTCATTAAAAGTCCTTACTGAGTCAACCCGGGTTGTCGCACTGGTTGTCGACCTTTTGGGGTCGGAAATAATGAGCGTGGGTAAAGAATTCGGCTTCCCTTCTTACATTTACTTTCCTTCAACAGCAATGCTACTATCTATGGTTCTTTATTTACAAAAGCTTGACCAAAAGCATTTGTGCGAATACAAAGATTTACCCCAACCAGTCATCTTCCCCGGGTATACTGTTCCACTTCATGGTATAGATTTTCCAGACCCTTTGCACTATAGAAAAAGCCCTGCTTACAAAGATATTTTAAACTGGAGCAGACGCTACCTAGTAGCAGCGGGGATTATGATCAATAGCTTCCTCGAGTTGGAAACGAAGACGTTTAAGGCATTGATGGAAGAAGAACCTGATGTTCCTCCGATTTATCCTGTTGGACCAATAGTACGAACCGGTTCGAGCAATGAGGTTGATGGATCTGGGTGCTTGAAATGGTTAGGAGAACAACCGAGCGAATCCGTTCTTTTCGTGTCTTTCGGCCAGTGGTGGCACTCTAACTCAAAAGCAACTCACTGAGTTAGCGTTCGGACTAGAAATGAGCGAGCAAAGATTCATCTGGGTTGTTCGGAGTCCAAACGAAAAAACTAAAAACGGTAACTTTTTCATCCAAGAAGATGAAGATAGAGTAGATTTCCATTTCCTGCCAGATGGGTTCGCGGAGAGGACCAAAGGGTCCGGTCTCGTGGTGTCATCATGGGCTCCCCAGGCTGAGATACTGAGTCATGGCTCAACCGGTGGATTCTTGACACACTGCGGATGGAACTCGACACTGGAGAGCATTGTTAATGGAGTCCCGTTGATTGCATGGCCGTTGTACGCAGAGCAGAGGATGAATGCAGTGCTGCTGGCAGATGATTTGAAGGTAGCATTTCGAGTTAGAGAGAAGGAAGAAGGTATAGTGGTTCGTGAGGATATTTCAAGATACGCGAGAGAAATAATGGAAGGAGAAGAAGGGAAAATGGTTAGGAAGAAGATGAGAGACTTGAAGGATTCGGCGTTAAAGGCTTTGAGCCAAGATGGATCATCCACCAAGTCTCTTGCCAAAGTTGTAGAGACCTGGAAGAAGCTGGAACAGTAGTAGTAATAATCAGAAAGTAAAAGTAATTTTCTGTTAATTGTTTTATCAGAAAAATAATGCATCTTCTTCTTTTAGAGTAAAACGGAGACAATACTCCAAAGCTATAAATTCAGTATTTATATCTTTTTAACAAATTCAAATTCAATTTAAACTATTAGTAGAATGTAATTTACATTTTTATGTGATATATAATAATTATTTATTATAATATTAAAATATTACAATATTTATCATTCAAAAGATCAAAGAAAATGCAGGTTATAATCACATAGCAACACTATCTTGAAGTCACCAAACAATGTTAATTATCAAAGCATCATTAGTTCAACAACATTTTCAACTTAATTACCAGTATTCAGATATTTAATTTCAATTTGTTCGTAATGTGCGGTTAGAGTATGTTGAAGTGCAATCATAATATACGAGATCTAAATATATATGTGATTATATATGAGATTATAGTATATTAATGTGCAATCATGATAAAGATTCAACTTAATTTAAAATTTATATACATATTATTAAAATAACTGTCACAATGAAACATATAATAGTTTAATTTAATTTTTTAAATAAGTTTGTTAATATTTTAATATATATATATATAAGTTGATTTTAAGTCTTGGATTTCAAAAACATCAATGAATCAAAATTTACATTTTAGATTTTAGAAGATGTTTTTTTTTTTTTCTTTATAGGTTAAAGGAGTTCTTTCTAAATTTCCATTCTTTTTTAATTATTTTCTATATTTAATTAAATATTTCCAAAAATATAAAAATTTGTTTAAATTTAAAATATTTTTAATTATATTAATAACTTTATCTAAATCTTAAATCTTATTTGAGTTTTTCCTTTAAAGCTATTTCTTTTTAGGAGATGTAATCTTCTCATAAATAAATTTATAGTGGTTTTTACATGTGTGTGTATATATAAACACATATATTGTACCACTGTTTTTTGATAAGATATAATCCTATATCCATCAATTATAAAATTTATATTGTGTAAGATAGCACTGTATTAT